TACTGGTGATCAATTCTAACACAGGGTGCTATTATCAAAGAATGTTTTAAGGCTCTTGAGAGGCATATAGAAGTTGGTATTCCGAGTTTAAGACAAAATATTATGGATGTCAACTTCTTCTTTCATCTATACAATAAAGAAACTCCTTCATCACGTGAATCCACCTGATGAAGGTGCAAGGAAAAGCCTAGACACATTGTCTATAGAACAAAGAAGAAGTTGACATCCATAATATTTTGGATTATATGTAAAAGAATGTCTTGTTTTTCAAATTTGTCTCCAACTGTTTTTTTCATTTAGTTACTGGGATGTCAATTCCTTGCACAGTATGCTGATACTTACACAAAGTACTCAATGTTTTAAAAGCATGGATCTGATGGTAAGTAATATTTTAATGTTGAAATGTGTATATAAAGAAATTCCTTATAGATTTCTAATGGACTTAGGTATATGTGTAGACTCAGTCTAGGTGCTATGTGCCTGAAATAATGCTGATACGTCATTAAATTACAACTCACTCTCTCCCTTCTCCCTTTCAAAGAATAAATGAAAATCTTATTTAAAAAAAAAATGAAACCAAAACATGAATAACTTGTGATGATATTCCTATAAGAAGCTAGTGATAAATGCACTCCATGCAAAGGCAATTGTGCATATATAAACTCAATTAATGAAATAAATTCAAATGATATAATTAATTTTTCTCATTGGAAGGTATCTCTTTGTTGGTAGATGCCAAAGTGAAGCTTAGTTTCTTGAGAAACTCTTGAAAATATAGAAATCCTATTCCTGTGGTACAAAAACAACTTTGAACAGGTGAGGTATGAACAAGCTGATTTGTGCTTGGTCCAGGTTGTCACCAAAGTAACTCGGTCGCCGTAGATCTGTAAACCTGTGTACAGTAGACAGTTCCATGTCAGTCAGGTCGTATTTAATATTCCCATTATAACAGACAAATCATGTTGATGGCTGAGGTCATTTGACAAGAAGGTTTGAAGAGTTATTCCCCTTGTTTCTGCTGCACTCCAAGCTCCTCAGCATGGCTATGGCTGCAAGTATGTAGCATTGACTGACTAACTGAGTTTAGTTTTACGCCGCTTTTAGCAATATTCCAGCAATATTCCAGCAATATCACGGCGGGGGACACCAGAAATGGGCTTAACACATTGTGCCCATGTGGGGAATCGAACCCGGGTCTTCGGCGTGACGAGCCAACGCTTTAACCACTAGGCTACCCCACCGCCCCATGTAGCATTGACTGGTAACATCACATACTACAGGATGGGACTCAACCCCAAAAAGTACTAGAATTTGTACTTTACTAAGAAAGTGTAATCCCAAATATAACATATGTTGCCATACGACAGAGAGTTACACAAATAGACTATCGATGTGAGGAGTTGAATTCTGTCCAAATGTGTAATCGAGTCTGGACCAATCAAGTCCGAATCAGTCAAGAGAAACAAATTATGCATTTCATTATCCTACGTGATGACTGCTAATGGTCAGGATTATATATCACACATAAAATGCTGTTTCATAATACCTATCTCTAAATATTCCCTTCTACCATGCATAAACTGCTGTCATGTAGTTGAAATATTGCCAAGGGCAGTGTTAAACTCAAAATGACATTTCTTGGACCATAACAACTAGGCTTCACACATCCTCAAGCAGTAATCTCTACAGCGCCTAGGTACTCCCCTTAGGCTCTATTCCACAAAGTAATATTAAAGCTATGATTGTCATAAATTGCATATAGGAGGTACTATCAACTAAGGCATTGACCAAACTCCCTAAACCCTTCAAATTTTGGGTCAAATACACGGCGGATAAAAGTAAGAAATGTAACGAAAGGATCATCAGAACAACGTAAATATTTCTTCCTCACAATGTACTCCACAAAATAACTATCATACAATCCTTTCGTAGTTCCATACCTGGGCAGGGACGCTTTCACCGCTCTCCACGTACTCTCAATTTTATTAGTACACGCACCATTCTCTGCATTCACAAATTCCTCACTATGATTCACTGTCACATGCTTGTATCCCACCTCATTCAGCCTAGCATACGCCTTCCAACAATCAGAATGAATTATCGATCCCGGTCGCACCCACTTTCTCAGCACACTCAAAAGGGTATCTGCATCACGCTTCTCTACAACTTCGAAAAACATCCTGTTACTTTCCTCCTCGATACCCCAAAACACCCTCACACCATCCACTCGCCTTCCTCGGTGAAACTTTCGCTTCCAAAACTTACTCTCATCAATCTCAACTTCAGTCCCTGGCCCACCTATCATCTCATTCTCCTCTTCCATCACAAACAAACACACATCTCTACAATAATTAAACCAGTCAACCAAAGTGTGATCAGACCCCAGACGCAACTGCACTCTCACAAACTTCTCTCTCACTTGATAAACCCAATAAAACTTCAATTTCATAATTTCATTAACAGACAAATGAGACTTAAAAAACCAAGAATCACGCCTTGCTACAATTTATAATTGCATTTTTAATTTGAGCAACGCCACACATAACCCTCACACCGACTCGAATCCTTTTGCTTTCCTATACTCCCACTGTCACACTTCACACACTTCCCACTGAAATTTCCAATAAAACCAAACGCTTCCAACCAATCCATCAACTTTCTCTCATCTCTACACAGCTCATACAAATCATCATACACCATTCTCCTTACAGCCATAGCTAAGCAAGTCAAATAAACAAGATTGAAATCAAGAGACAAGCAAAATAATCATGAGAGGAAGCGTCAAGTCCAGTGGAGAAAGTAACTTTCTAACAGACAATATTGTGAACATTGTTATTCCTTTATTGTATTCAAGCTGAGAAAGACAATTTTGTGTGATGCATTTGATTTTTGAAATGAAATTTCTACTTATGTCAGTCAAAACAATTGATTTAAATATTCCTATGTTTTGACTGTGATATTGCTATCTGTCAAGTTTTAATTGGTCATGTTTAGTGAGTACATCAAGAATAAAAATGTTTGAAAAGTATGAGTGTGTTTGCTGTTTATGTAATGATATTTAGAAGTGATCTTTGTAGGAATTCCTGGGATAAAGACAGTGTACTTCCCATGGAGTCATGGTCCATATTACTCGGGCACTAACTATTCATTCAATTATTTGCTTGAATCTTTGGAATAACTCTTAATCCATTGGATTTATCTGAATTCTGATGCCAAAAATGAATTCAGTGGTATCCAGTTACCCTATGTACCAAATTTTGTTTAAATACACCAACAAACAGCAAAGTTTTGGAAAAAAATTGAAATTTTTGACGAAAAAAGCGATCTGCGACTTTCCAGTAATTATGAACAAAATTGATCTAGACCAGGACCCCGAATTTCGAAGCTTTATTTGCCTCTAAAATCTGTATTTATGGTCTGATTTTAAAAAGGAAAAGTGATCTGAAATCAGTAGAATGTCAGCTATCGGACAATGTTATTTATATTCAGTTATCTGCAATATGAAAAAAATCATGTGGTACAGCTACCTTCAATGTTGTATCATGAGTGAAAAATAGTTCATGAGTGACAGCCAGCAAGCGAGTTTAGTTTTACGCTGCACTCAGCAATATTCCAGCTATATGGCGGCGGTCTGTAAATAATCGAGTCTGGACCAAACAATCCAGTGATCAACAACATGAGCATCTATCTGCACAATTGAGAACTAATGGCATGTGTCAACCAAGCCAGCGAGCCTGACCACCCGATCCCCTTAGTCGCCTCGGACAAGCATGGGTTACTGAAGATCAATATTCTAAACCGGACCTTCACGGGTTTCATGAGGGACAAATAATCTATCTTTTGATTATATTTACATATTAATATCAGTCTTAAATCACATTTCAGCTGAAATCAGACCCTGAGTAAGCCTCCTGCACTCAAGACAAGATTTCATCCTAACTTCTGTAATAAATGTTAAAATGAAAAAGGGCTCTCATCCTAGAGTTCCCTGAGGTCCAGTTCAAAAGTTCATTGTCAGATAAAAATGTAGACATACCCCTTCTCACTCAAAACTTTTAAATTCTGAAAATACTGAATTAACTGCATAAACCCAAAACATACATCAAGAATGACAGATATATGTCAGCACTATTCAATATATGTTTTAATATAACTGCCTTACATTACTGGCACTGGTAAAGGTGTGCGACTGAGTCACCTGTTGCTTTTAACTTACCTGGGAGCTAAAATAATCACGGACAGGTGAAACGGGATTGAGATTTTGCAGATTTTCTTCACGACATAAAAAACTGAGCTGGCGAGCAAGTTAAAATTTGCATATCAGCTTTATTTCAGCCCCACTGTGACCAAATAATTGAGAAATGAGGAAAGTTGCAGAGAGATAACCCCCCAAACTAAAGTGATTTAGGTTTGCATCCAACATCCAACTTTCAAACTGGTCCCAATCCCTCCTCTGTCCTTTAATCACAAATATTATTTACTTGGAGTAAGACACATGCGAAAAATGGAGCTATCTGCTCAGCCAATCTGTTGTCAAAACTTGGACTGACAGTCAACTGACAGGCAGCTTATGTGAATGATAGACAGCTAAGCCAGTGTTCAGCTAATGCTCAGGTGGAATAAATCAACGTTCAGCTAATGCATGGCAGGAATAGCTCAACGTTCACCTAATACTCAGCTGAAATAGCTCAACGTTCAGTTAATGCTCAGCAGGAATAGCTCAATGTTCAGCTAATACTCAGCTGTAATAGCTCAACGTTCAGCTAATGCTCAGCAGGAATAGCTCAACGTTCAGCTAATACTCAGCAGGAACTGCTCAATGTTGAGCTAATGCTCAGCTGAAATAACTCAACATTCAGCTAATGCATGGCAGGAATAAGTCAATGTTCAGTTAACGTCCAGCTTGAATAACTAAATGTTCAGTTTTGGTGCAGGTGGAATAATCCTTGTGTTCATCGTATGAGAACACTATCATCAAAATACAACATGATATAACTTACCAATTGAAGGCATTGAAGTGGAAGTAGACAAGGCCTAACCCATACAGGAAGGGGGCATTCTGAAAGGAGGAACAGCCAAAATATCATCACATACAGTATTCTCCACACATGGTAGTGAGTCAATGAGTGAGTTTAGTTTTACGCTGCTTTCAGCAATATTCCAGCTATAAGGCAGCAGTCTGTAAATAATCAAGTCTGGACTAGACATTCCAGTGATCAACAGCATGAGCATCGATCTGCGCAATTGGCTGACTGACTGACTGAGTTTAGTTTTACGCCGCTTTTAGCAATATTCCAGCAATATCACGGCGGGGGACACCAGAAATGGGCTTAACACATTGTGCCCATGTGGGGAATCGAACCCGGGTCTTCGGCGTGACGAGCCAACGCTTTAACCACTGGGCTACCCCACCGCCCCTGCGCAATTGGGAACCGATGACATGTGTCAACCAAGTCCGTGAGTCTGACCTCCCAATCCTGTTAGTCGCCTCTTACAACAAACATGGGTTACTGAATGCCAATATTCTAACCCAGATCTTCACGGGTGCACTGATGGTAGGTCAAATGCGTGAGTGAGTATACAAGTTTAAACCGTTTTTGGCAATATTCAAACAATATCAAGGTGGAGGACACCGCAAATAGGTGTCACATATTGTTTCTGAAATGAGTACTTTACAAATGTGATTTAAAGACATGGTCAACCGCATACAGTGTTCGCATTAACGCAGAAACCTGCGTTTTACACGCAAAAAAATAATAAAAACATGTAAACAATATTTTGCCTGTGTGTTTTTGAAGCATATATTCTGATCTACTTAATATTAAAAAGTACCTTAAAACAGCAACATATGGAAAAACAATCAATTTTGAAATGATTCAGGATTGTAATGAAAATTTCACGTGCAAAAGATTTGGACTACATATTTATAACTTTATTTCTCCATGCACTCGTACAAACCCTACTGCGAACACTGACATAATATCTATACAGTATCATACCCGTCTCAGGCATACCTGTCAACACTGCACGCAGCAATATTCCAGCTATATGGCAACAGTCTTTAAATAATCAAGCTTGGACAACACAATCTAGTGCTCAACAGCAAGAGCATCTGATAGGATGACATGTGTCAACCAAGTCAGAGAGTGTGACCACCCGATCCCGCAAGTCACCTCTTACAAAAAGCATGGGTAACTGAAGATCAACTCTAACCCGGATCTTCACGGGGAACATGACATGAGAAAATAGTAATCAAATTATTCAGTAATTACTGTACTTGATCTGAGCAGATGCGTTAAAATCCCTGACACTTCACAGAAGTGAATACAAAGCAGTGCTATTATCAACAGGTCAGATGTCTATATGATCAGAAATGGAAAACAGATCGGGGTGGATCTAGAAGGGTGTGCTGGGATACGCAACCTCACTCTCCCCTGAAACATTTTTCCCCGAGGAGCATTTCCCCCTGACCTTGAGACTTCATGATTTATATACGCACACCGACTGACTGACTGACTGACTGAGTTTAGTTTTATGCCGCTTTTAGCAATATTCCAGCACTATCATGAAATGGGCTTAACACATTGTGCCCATGTGGGGAATCCAACCCGGTATTCGCGGACGAGCCAACGCTTTAACCCCTAGGCTACCCTAATCGCCTATATATATACGCGACGCGCGCATGCATGCACGCACCACCCACGCATTTACACACACACGCAAAGTCCTGATGGGTCCCCAAAAGAAACCATCAAAACTAACCTTCCATGAATCTGGTTGCATGTTGTAAAACTTCTGGTATGCTGACAGGGCTAAAATGCAAACATATTTTATTAGATAATTTTTGCAATCATAAACAAATACACTGGAACAACCTTATTAATCACTAACCACTGGTGAGGGTACATTTTAATTGACCCAAGAAACTAATACCGATCTCTACCTTTAGCCTTGCTCAATATCAGTTTCTTTGGTCAGTAAAACATTATATTGCCCAATTGATGTCCATAATAATTCTTGACCGCCTCCGTGGTGTAGTGGTTAGAGCGTCCGCTCAAAGAGCGGAAGGTCGCGGGTTGGATCCCGACTGCATCATACCAAAAAGACTTTAAAATATGGTACTTGCCTGGCGCTCCGCAATCGGCATTAATGGATTCAACAAGGAGTCAGTATAATGTGTCTGAGTGGAGTATTCATGCTTCACTGCGGCATGGTATCTCAGTGGGCTAGCACTATAAAACCAGCTTAAGTCTGGGCTAGTACAAGCAGCCACACATACACATACACATGCATGCACGTCGTTATATGTGCGAAATATTCTCAAGCACGACATTAAACCCAATTTCACCTCACCTCACCATAATAATTCTTTCATACTTTTTTAAAAACATTTAAAATTCAAAGATAATTCAATCAGATGTCGCAGAGGACGTTAACAACCGTTGTGATATTATAGGCTAGAGATTGGCTGGAAATATTCCCTCCTTTAAAGAACCAATAAACTTTGTTTTTTGTTACTCTTTTAACTATTACATATGAAAGATTTGTGGTTAGTCTTTAAAAACTTGTGGTTAATTAATATCGAGCGATTAAAAGTGGCCAAAAAGCCACCTGCTTCCCTCTCGCCCGCCAACGAAACCACAGACAGGTTACGTAACTCTGTCGCCAGAGCACTGCAGTGACGTCATATGAGGAACGATTTTCAGTTAGTTGTAGAGAAAGTGTGTAGCACTCTCATCCTTTAACATGTTCAAGTCTACTGGCTATATAATCAGGGTGCGATATCATTTGTATTCCGTACCAGCACCGAGGGCAACCTGGCTTATAGGTTTGGTTGCACCATAAACAACATAATGTCACTGGTTTTAAAATGTAACAAAAAATACCATAAAGCATTTTCATAACAAGTAATAGATGTCAACTAGTCTGTCTTTACAATCCCTGAACCACATTAAATACTGCCTAGCCCTCCTAGCTATTTTCATACAGTCCCTGAACCACATTATTTTCCCTACTGCCTGGCCCTCCTAGTCATCACAGTCCCTGAACCACATTTTCCCTACTGCCTGGCCCTCCTAGTCCGTCTCACAGTCCCTGAACCACATTAATTTCCCTACTGCCAAACCCTCTCTGCAGTGCTAAAGCCCTAAATAAAGCAAGTCTAGATTTCCTCAGGTTCTGAAACTTTGGTCTCCCAAGGACACCTATTCAATTGAAATGGGTTGTTTGTTTCTATCAAAAATTATATATATTCAGAGACTAAGCATTAGTCTAACATTCAACAAAACCTGACCCCATAATGATAAATGATAAATGATGAATGATTCTGTTTCAGTTTTGCATTATCTTTATTCATAATCTCAATTATATTAATACTTGTATCTAACTGATTTATAAGTACACAAATATAAGACAAGTTTATGGATGTCAACTTCTTATTTATTGTGTAACAACGTTTCTAGACAACTTCTTGCCCCTTCTTCGGGTGATTGAAGGAGCAAGAAGTGGCCCAGAAACGTTGTGTTACAAAATAAATACGAAGTTGACATCCATATACATGTCTTCTATATTCAACTTATATATAAATGCCTCTCAAGAATCTCAAGTACACAAATGTCTATGCTTGTAACAAGTCATGTGGAGAGAACTGCATTACTTCCAGTCACTCACTTCCCAATTAAAACACATGATGGCAGCTATAAGCTGCTGGAAGATTTATTGTTAGTTGCACCGAGTGCAACCTGTGACCGAAGGTAACCTGCTCAGGCCGCTTTTAACATGCACTGCTGCAGGTTGTAAATAGAGAAATTTCACCCTGACCATGCAGGGCAATACCATGTGACCCATTCTCAACTAATCAAAATACAGAAATAATTTATAAATGTAATTATACAAGTTATCTGAATGAAAACTTTAGCAGAAAACAGTATCAACATACAGATTTGAAATCCCCACAGTGTAGCAATTGGAAGTATCTGGATAAATGTGGTCTAACATAAGTCCTTTAAAATAAATATCAACAGCCACAAAATGGACATTTTAATTCACACACTAAGCTTGCAATCAGACATTAAAATGGTATTATTAATTGATATGACACAAAATGCTAAAATGAATTTGATGAAGAATGTAAATGTTTTTTTAAGTTGGTACACTTTAGTTCCTCACCTAAAATGTTTAATCAGTGCCCTGAGAATCCATGATAATGTAAGCTACAGTTATGTTTCATACAGGACAATGATTATGTGAATATGGCAGGCTTTCATTCAGCAACATAAAGACCGTGTCAAAGGGAGGCAACTCAGTACAGCAAGCTGCCACCAGGTGGTGTTCGAGCACATTAGTACTTCTTGTTAAATGCTGTACTTAGTGTTTGCCATGACACAGAAATCCTGTGTACTTTATGCACAAATATAGAAGCTTGCATGATCATTGTTGATGCAATGCTACTGGGCCCTTAGTTCAGATAATATAAGCTTCTAATGCACATTTATTATTTTTTTTTATTTTTTTTTTATTCGCTTCTAATGCACATTTTTTTTTTTTTTTATTCGCTTCTAATGCACATTTATTTTATTTTTTTATTTTTTTATTTTTTATTCGCTTCTAATGCACATTTTTTATTTTTTTTATTTTTTTTTTATTCGCTTCTAATGCACATTTATTAAAGTTTGAGTACAAATTGTAATTTGCTGTTGTTCAAAACAACTTAGTTTAATGTTTGCCAGTTACCTGCTTAGTGCTGATTAAAACCTGACTTGCCTTACCTTGTGTTTGTTGTTATCAAACAATGACAATTGTCTTGATGAAAGTCCCAAACTGAAGTTGACTCCCCAAAACATGTCCATGACTCCCTCTCATGACACCAGGGAGTCATGATGACTCCTAAATTATTATGCCTAGTGCAAACACTTTATACTTAGCAAGATTCCTGATATATGACGGCAGTCTGAAGAGATGATCAACTCACACTGCAACATATGCTTATTATCACAGTGTTCACGCCAGTGTTCATGCATGGTGTTTCAAAGTATCAGGACACTGGGTCCTGTCAATTTCAGATGTCTGTCTGACCCACTGAAAATTCACAGGACCCATAGAAGAAAAATCAAACACATTTTTAGATTTTCTTCTAATTTGCAACCATACTTATCTTAGTGATAAGGTTATGGTAACGCCATCCTGCAACATAGGTTTATGGCCAACATAGTGATAAATCATCTAGGTCCCCATAACACAAGTTGATCTCAGCATCAAGGTGATGGTATAAATCTCTGCATAAGCAATCTCCTTCATACATATCAGAGCTGATATCAGCCTATGTCCCAGCATGGGAACTAAGATCTCAACACCAGGGCCTCGTTTGACAAAGCTCTCGTGACCTAAGATCTCATAGCTTTTCTCGTAGCATTTGTACCTCCTAAATTGTAACATAGGAAGTATGAATGCTACAAGAAAATTTACGAGATCTTAGGCTTACAAGAGCTTTGTGAAATGGGGCCCAGAACCTACTGACAGTGCCACAATGCAAACTTAAGTGCTTTGGTCAGAGATCTTTTGAACATTACGCCCCCTACTCTCTTCTTCAAGATCTGAAACTTTCTCCAGTATTTGAGTCATTCAAATCGAGTCTCTTTTCTGCCAGTTTATGAATCATAACTTTTGTCACCATCCCTCCCTTTGTACTTTAAATTGCTGTGCCTTGAGCATGCTGAAAGCGTGGAAATGAGTGCATCATAAATATGCACTATTATTATTATCATCGTAACATTCATTCTTATCTTAGCACTAAGGTGATTGTAACACTCATACTTATCTTAGCACTTAGATGATCGTAATACTCATACTTGTCTTAGCACTAAGGTGATCATAACAAGCATACTTCTCTTAGCACTAAGGTGATCGTAACACTCATACTTCTCTTATCTTAGCACTATGGTGATCGTAACACTGATACTTCCCTTAGCACTAAGGTGATCGTAACACTGATACTTCCCTTAGCACTAAGGTGATCGTAACACTCATACTTCTCTCAGCACTACAGTGATTAACTCTCATACTTCTCTTAGCATTAAGGTGATCGTAACACTCATACTTCTCTTAGCACTAAGGTGATCGTAACACTCATACTTTCCTTAGCATTACGGTGATTAACTCTCATACTTCTCTTAGCACTAAGGTGATCGTAACAGTCATACTTCTCTTAGCATTAAGGTGATCGTAACACTCATACTTCTCTTAGCATTAAGGTGATCGTAACACATATACCCCTCTTAGCACTAAGGTGATCATAACACACATACCTCTCCTAGCATTATGGTGATCGTAACACTCAAAACTAAATTAACACTAAGGTGATGGTGATTTCCATACTACACCATCACTACTCAGGGCTTGATTTAGAACTTTGTTACTTGCATTGGTGCAACCCAATATTACAAAGTGCAATCTAGCCATTAGCTGAACTTGCACCTGGTGCAACTCAATTTTTTAGTGGGTAAACTCTCAATAAAACATCTAAATAATTAAATACCATATTTTTTACATTGCATATTGCAATAAAAGGAGTGCAACTGGAATTTGGCTGGTGCAACTAGGTTTTTATCTTAGGTTGCACCTGGTGCAAGTAGGTTAACTTCTCTGAAATCAAGCCCTGCTACTGTGTACAATCAGACAGGACCAGATTTCCACAAAGCAATTGCAGAGCTACAATGATTGCAAACCTATATTGAAATATGCAAGTTATAGGGTTGCGCAATATAACCGGTTTACCAGTATTTCCCGGTTTTTGAAATTGTTGGTTTCCTTGTTT